CCCGCGTCTCCTGCATCGGCAGGCGGACTCTCAAGCACTGCGCCACCAGGGAAGCCCAGAAAGGGACTCTTAAACTCAGTCAATTTCATGAGGGTTATTTCACATTCTCATTTCTCTGATTTCAGTCAGCAACCCATGGTGCCAGTGTTGTCACAATAACCTTCATGAGCACAAAAGTAAGAGCTGCAGGGAGCACTGCATGGGCTCTCTCCTTCCCTGTGTTCCCACTTCATGTTCCCGGTCTCTAAGCCTGCTGGGAATGCACTTACCTGGGATGTCATCAACCTCAACTTTGCTAACAAACTTAAAGGAGCAGGAGAGTTCCCCATGGAAATCACCACCATCATAAAGGGGAGCTGTGAATACCCTTGCTCCCATCACTTTTTTTAAAAATTTATTTATTTATTTATTTATTTTTGGCTGTGTTGCGTCTTCATTCCAGTGTGCGGGCTTCTCATTGCAGTGGCTTCTCTTGTTGCGGAGCATGGGCTCTAAGCGTGAGGGCTTCAGTAGTTGCGGCACATGGGCTCAGTAGTTGTGGTTCGCCGGCTCCAGAGAGCAGGCTCAGTAGTTGTGGTGCACGGGCTTAGTTGCTCTGCAGCATGTGGGATCTTTCTGGACCAGGGATCGAACCCGTGTCCCCTGCACTGGCAGGCGGATTCTTAACCACTGTGCCACCAGGGAAGCTCTCCCATCACTTCTTGATGTGTACAGACAGGACAGAGTCCTTTAACACAGTCACATACATATGTCACTTTCCATTAAATAAACAGATGCTCTAATATCACAAACATCAATTCTCTTGTTTGAGTCCAGATTTACTGAACACTGTGATTGTGCAGAAAGCGCGATCAACATTTTGCTCCAATAACGTACCAATTTGTGTGCTAATATTCCCTGAATACTGAAAATGGGTGAGGAAAATGAACATTTTAGATGGAAAAAGAGAGCATAATGAGGTGTTAATGGTATAATGGACCTAAAAGGTAAGTAAAACAACAAACGTATCAGGAAAGAATTGCAATTGACAGCTAAAAGCATTAACGTTATCGAAAGGTTCAAACACCAAAAATTCACCATTTCTTCAATCTTCTAACATAGGCATCGCCTCGTTACCGTTCATACCATTCACAAAGATCCATCTAATCAGCTCAAAATCAGCTTTAAAAAACCAAGACTCCTTAAAGGGTTAGGCGATGTAAGAGGCACGTGTACAGGTATAGCAAAGGACCAAGAAATTAGTAAAGTTGAACGGTTTATCAAAAGCAAAAATGACAGGCTCCCTTCCGTGAGAAAAAGGAAGAAATTGAAGGGGTCTCCTGGAGGAAAAAAAAAGGGGGAATGTGAGAAAATAAAGACACTACTGAATTCTGTGCTTTAAAAGTCCCTTACCTAAGGAGAGTCCACAGCGGACCCTCCAAAAGAGAAAGACATGTTTGGAACAAGAATAAGTTCTTTCCTTCAGGAAAGTCAGTATTGTGGAAATACGCAGAAGGTAGTGAGAGCTGGGGCCGACCCTCAGGCGAAGATACCTAGAGAGGCAGCCCGGGTCCGGACTCGGGAAGAGGCCAGCGACGAAACGGCAGGACCCAGAACAGGAGAGAAGAACCAGCAGGTCGCTTAGGAGCCAAGCGCCTGGATGAGGGCTCGGTTCCGGTTCTCTGCTCAGCTCCAGAGCTTAGAATTGCGCCAGGCTCGTAGCGTGCGCCCAACACATAGACGGAAGGGAAGAGAGCTGTTCCATTAGTGCATTATCTTGGAGAGACAGAGGGAGATTTCAAACATCCCCCTCCGCTCAGTCCGCTCCTGCCCTTCCCGCCCAGCAGGAAAGCTCGTATTTGGGGGCGGAGACGGGGTCACGAAGCCTGGGCTTCTCACTTACTTTTGCAGCCGGACGCCATAGTGCCCTCACCCCTCGATCCCGGGACCGACGGAGCGACCGCCCTCACTTCCAGCCCAGCCGCGCGCGGAGATTCCGCCCACTCAAGATGGCCGCGAATTTAAATTTGGCGCTCAGGTCGGACGTTGACGCCAGCACGGAGGCTGCCATGTTGCCAGGCCCTGTGTCAGGGGCGGGGCCTACGTGACGTCACGGGTAAGCGCCGTCGCCTCTGTACAGTCTCCAGGCGGCTGTGGGGTCTTGTTTTTCCCTAGCGCGGCTATGAGCAAGCGGAACCAGGTGTCGTACGTGCGGCCAGCCGAGCCGGCGTTCCTGGCCCGCTTCAAGGAACGGATCGGCTACGAGGAAGGGCCCACGGTAGAAACCAAGGTGAGCCCGGGCCAGTCCCGTTACCGCAGAAATGCGGCCCGCTCCGCCAATTCCAGCTTCTGGCTTGACTTGGAGGCCAGATACTGATGGGTCCCTCCTCGCACCCGCGCCCGGCCCCTAGTCCGAGTGTCCTCAGACCCCAGGCTGGTCATCTTCAAACAAACTATTGCCTCTTTCGCCCAGGAAGCTATTTGTCGTTTTCACAGTGCTGCTGTGTTTTTGAAAATGACTTCACGCAGGTAAAGCGCCTCGTCCTTGATAGACAGTTAAGAAAGATCATTTTCCTCTCTCTTCGTTTTCACTTGCTTATCGCATAACCTGTAGTTAGCAGTGTGGGTGGTAGCGTCGTCCCATTTTCCAGGTAAAGAAACTGAGGCCACTCGATCAAATGACCTGATATCCTAAGCCTTGAGTCTGGAACATCCTTAACGAATGCCCTAGATCTACTTCTGTGCTTGTTGTCACACACACACACACACAAAAAAAAAAAAAAAAAACGGAAAGCAAAACCCTTTTATATCTTGGCTCTCAACAGAAGAAGAGGAGCTTCAGGAGGGAGCCACACCTGGATAGTTTAGAAATGGGGATCCGTGGGAGGCAACTTCTAAGCTCCCCCAGGCTCCTACCCGAACTGATTCACATCAAAATCTGCCCTACCTTTTTTAATAGAAAGAGACTATTATGCTTAGGGCATGTGTGGAGAAATAGAGAATTTATTTAGCACTTTGTGTCTAGCACTTGCACAAAGACCCACCCCTCAAGTCACTTAGTAGAAGGACACAAGATTGACTTAAGTGCAGTTAATCCAGTGAGTATGTGCTAAATCCAGGCCCTGGGCCAGGCTCTGAAAGGACAAAGAGATGGACTTCCAAAATGCCCTGTTCTTTAACACCTTCCTGCCTGCCTCATCTCAGCCTTCACAGGTCACCACCTCAGTGAAGCCCTTTGAACCTCCCCCAGACAGTAACTCCTCTGTTCTTCTCTTCACTCTATCCGCATCTTATCTGCAATAGTCATCATTATGCATGGCAACTACTTGCTCTCTTGGGTATCTCCACCACTAAATCGAACACTCTAAGTATCTTAATCCCTCTGTATTTTCCTAGTACAGTGCCTGTGGCACCAAGTAGTGGGTGACAAGTTACATTGGTTAGATGACTGTGGTTATCGTCAGGCAAGGCTTCATGGAGGAAGGGACATTTAGATTGAATCTTGAGCATGGGTAAGTCAGCAGGTAGAGATGGAAGGAGCAGCATGGGTAAAGGTGTAGAGATAGTGAGTCACGGACTGACTGTGTTTAGAAGGGACTGATAGAGGGACTGATAGAGGTGAGGCCATATGGACTATTCAGTAGGCAACAAGGAGCATGTTTGGATAGAGATAACATGATCAGGGAGTGACTGGTCCCCAGGACCAAAAACAGTGACTATGGCAAAGAGGATGAAGTTTGAGAAAAGGGACATGGTTTCAGCAATGAGGAGAATATGGACCTAATTTTATAGTTTGCTTCAGGTCCTGGTGATGATCATGTGTGTGCCTAGTTAACACCTTGAAGATTGCAGCTTAGAATGCTATCTTAGGAGAACTCGGGGCAGGGGGGTGGGGGTGGGGGTGGGGAACTTTCCAATTAATATCAGTCATTCAGGCTAACACATTTGATCAACAGACTTTTCCATAGACAGATGTCCCAGGTTCCTGTGTTTGCGAAAGCAACTTCATTCTTAATCATTTTGGCAGTATAATCATTCTAGGAATCTGTTAACAAAAAAGAGTTTCATGGGAAATCACTATATAATTATAGTTTATAGTCTAAGATTACAGCTGTGGTTATCGACTGATGCCAGATCCTGCAGGGCTTTGTTGCCTTGTTTGGGAGACAAGGAAGGCTCTGTGAGAGGTGGACTGACATCTATTTGAATAATGTGTGGTAGGTGTGCACGCCTTTCAACCTAGCATTTCCATTCGAGGAATTTATGTGTAAGTTTTCAAAAGTGAACAAAAACGTGCAAAAATTTTGTTACAGTAGAAAAAAACTAGAAACAACCAAAATTTTTACTTACAAAGAATTGGTCAAATAAACCATGAGATAACCACATGTATAAATACCGGGCAGTGATTTTTAAAAATAGATGATGCCATATGTATCTCAAGGCATTGTGCAAAGATTTTTTTGAGTAAAAAACTTGGGTGAGTGGGGCTTATATGATGTCTGACATTTTTAAAAATCTCAGTCAACTAGCCAGATATTACCATTTGTTGCACCTATAGAGTCAGTGCATGGTTTCTGTTATTTTCTGTACTTTTTTATGTTTGGTAAATTTCATAATTTAAAAAGAAAAAAGAAAGCGAGTCATATAGTAGTATGTCCCGTGTCTTGTTTGTATACAAAATGTTTTCTGTACCTCCGTATTTTTATACACTTAGAATAACACTTAGGATACCCACCAAACAAGCTACTGGAAGGGGGTAAAGATAAGCAAAAGTAGGTGAAGGAGGACATTTTACTTGCCGTTTTCTGTACTTTGGTGGTGTTTATTTTTTGTCACACTTTGAGAAGAGGTGTACATGAAAAGGGTTGATGAAGAGCAGAGAGAACTGCTGTAGTCAGCACTACCCTGAGTAGGCTGAATGCTGGCAGAACATGAAGCAGAGGGCCCCTGACATTAGGAACTGCAAGCTGGGG